ACCTGACATTTAAGATAGGTAAGAAGCAGAAAAAAGTTGATTACACTATAGTGAGTCAGACTTAAACACAGACAAGATTGATGAAGACATAGCAGTAAATACAGAGGAGAAATATAACAGAGTTAGTGATGAGATGTTCAAGTTTCATAAAAAACTTATTTCTGAAAATCATAAATCAGACTACAATGAAACCGATGTAAACATATTGGATGAGAGAAGGACAATAGTAGCAAATGGTCAATTCAGTTGATGACAATAAAGAATGGCTACCTATATCATGACCGTATAAGAGATAGTGAGACACGCAGTATTGACAAGAGAAAGCATTCACTCATTCAGCCAGTGAGATTTCAATCATTCCTGTCTTCGGGGAGTTTGATATTTGGAAGCCCGATGATTTGGAATCTGATTCTTGAAATCTGGGTGATTATACACTGTATTTAGTTCAGGCATGTCATGGAAACATATTCTTTAACAAAAAGTTTAACTTAGTTTATGGTTTGCATCTGAAGAAGTTAGCCAAGAGAGGAGTAGTTTTGAACATATTATACTATAAGACGCCTTCTCATGTACACAAGGTGAAGTATAAGAAAGCCATTGAATAATTATATAATGCAAAAATCAGTGAAGATGAAAATTAAAACAATGTGATTAAGAAGACCATTGCAAACATTACCTTTGGTCTACTAGAAAAGGGCTACAACAAATTAAATAAGAGCAAGATTTTTGATAGTCTTAAGGAGGCGCTCTACTATCAGAACAAGTATGGGGGCAAAATCTATACCTTAGATGATGTTGAATATGAAGAGGTGGATGGGCGGGGTGACCCCAAAGAAAGAAACAGAACAACCAAAAATTACTAATTTCAGGACAGAAGCAGTTGATGAACGGGTTTCGGTATATTAAATAACTGCTGTTGCAAAATCATAACTACAGTATGTATGATGCAATGGAGAGGCTGAAAGAAAAGGGCATCAAAGTATATGCTATAAAAACTGATGCACTACACATAGCCAAGACAGACTTAAAGAAGGCTAGGAAGATACTAGAGTTTGGAAGGGAGATTGGCAACTGGAGAGTTGAAAAGATGAGGGTAAAATCTTCTTCTGGCTGGTATGCATGGAAACATAATGAGTTGATAAAAATGCCGACGTACAAAAATGAAAGTATTGAAGTAGAGGAGGAACGGAACACATAAGAGATATGTGAACACATAATCAGAAAGAAGAGGGTGATGATTAGAGCCAAATATGCAGAAAGTGGCAAGTGTTATGTAGGCAAACATCTGGAGAAGATGGGCTGCAAAACTCTATTTATAGTTCCTCAGAATATGTTGAAACAGGATATTGAATGTGAAGCGGTGACATTGAATGTGTTCTTTGGCATTGGCATTGATAAAGCAAACAGCCTACCAAAGTATGATTATTCAGGGTTTGATGCAATAGTCTTTGATGAAATCTATATGTCTTCACCTTTCATATTGAACAAGATAAGGCAGTTTACCCTGAAGAATCCTAATAAAATTATCATTGGAGCAGGTGATGTCAAACAACTTCCAAGCATAGAGCCTTATACTAACTGTCAGAATGTTGAAGATTATGTTGATAATTGTATTGACATAATATTTAAATATAATAAGAGTGTAGGGGGCAAAGACACTGAAGCAGGTGAGAGGAACAGGAAGAAATTAGATGAGATGATTAAAGACATGAAGATTTCAGATTGGGTAGCTAAGCATTTTAAGTTTACAACTGATATTATGGTGAGTGAAAACAACATAGCTTATACCAACATCAGGTGCCAAGCTCTGGCAAATGAAGTCAGAAAGAGACTAGGCAAGAAAGATAAATATGAAGCAGGTGAGATTTTGATACGCAGACTTTACAGACATGAAAAGGAAGGAAAGTTTAATGTGAATATCAGGTGGAAGATTTTAGAAGTGAAGGGTGGAATGATAAAGATACAGGACATTAAGGATGAAGAAGATATGAGAGTTGTAAGTGAGAACGTGGCAGACAAGCATTTTAAATATGCATATTGTGACAGGGGACATCAAAAAGCGGCAATATAACAATACATGAGTGGCAGAGAACAGAGTTGGTGAGCAAAGAGTGTTTAAAAAAGTTAAAATATAAAAGATTGCGATTTAACTTTTAAAATTTAAATTTTTTAAGTTTTTCGGAGCCTTGAACAATTTAGAAAATTTAAAAAATATAAAATATTTCGATTTATATTTTTTGAATTTTCTTAAAATTTTTCGGAGCCTCCGAAAATTTAAAATTTAAAAAATTTAAATCGGACTGTTCTCAGAGATCACCAGATTTCCACATAGTTTAAAAATTTAGAAAATTTTAAAAAATTAAAACATTAAAAAATATAAAAGAGTACGATTTAAATTTGTTAAAATTTTCGGAGCCTTGAAAAATTTTAAAAATTCAAAAAATTAAAATCGCATTAAATTTTTTTAATCTTTGAAAATTTTCAATTATCTGGAAATCTGGTGATCTCTGAGAACAGTCCGATTTAAATTTTTAAAATTTTGAAATTTTCGGAGGCTCCGAAAAATTTTTTAAAATTTTTAAAAAATAAAAGATTGCGATTAAAATTTTCAAAAAATATTAACAAAATTTTCGGAGCCTTGAAAAATTTATAAAGTTTGAAAAATATATAGAGTTCGATTTATATTTTTGGAATTTAAATTTTTCGGAGCCTCCGAAAATTTAAAAAGTTTAAAAAATTTAAATCG